TATGGCTTGACGTTTGGGCCATGTTTGGCCACGTTCCACTTCATTACTAGATGAATCGACAGGAAAATTACAACTGCCACGTCTGTCTCTTTGACTATTTCCTTTCTATGACTTGCTCTGTATCCTAGGCTTCATATTCACTCGATTTTCACTTGTAAACTTGTGGAAACTCGTAGTTTTTAAACCTAGCATTCGCTGGACCAATTCTCTGCATTTGTTACATACAATCGATAGAGAATATACAATTTTTAGTGTCAACACTTATCTTGATTTTTTTATTTTTTTTTCGATAACTCGGTATCCGGTTGTTGAACCGACTAATCCCTGGGAGCAATCCCATCGCCCACTAGTGAAGGTCCCAATTAAATATGGACTGGCCCCAAAAAATTATTTGCACCGAAGAAGTTTGGAACGCGAAACCTTGAAGGGAGTATGCCCCCAAGTCCACAGTCTTGACTACTAGGCCAACCCCTTGAGGTTCGTTTATCTTATCTTGATAATAAGATAATTTTGGGTGTCTCGATGATAGAAATAGTTTTACATGAATTTTGATTTTGAGCATGCAATATTGTGATTCTTGGGTTTTGAATTAATTTTTCTATTTTGATATTTTCATGCAATTATCCTGTAATCAAAATATTTTCAAAAAACTCATCTTTGAATTTTTTTTTTTTTTCTTCTTCATTAGTTTCATGAATGGGTGAGTCTTGGGTTTGTGTTATCATGGTACTAAGGTGTGTTCTCATGAAATCTGTGGCATGCATCTTTTGAATGATTTTCTTTTTTCTTTTATTTTCTGTTATTTTATTTTTTGTATTGGCAAAAAGTCAAAATTCATTGATGTAAAGGATACAAAATAAGTGCAAACACAATTAGCTAGTTTGCATTACAGAACTTTTATAGTATTCAATCTAGTTTTAATATGATTTTCTAGACTTTCAAGTTGTTGGAATTTCTATTTGAATTGATTATTTTTCTATGTAGATGTCGCTTTAGATTGCCAGTTGTATCGCTGTTGATAAGACTCAGATAATTAAGGATTATGATTGGATGTTTGTCTTATATTCAAGCATGCTTAGTCTAGCTTTCTCTATCTTGGCTGAAATCTTCATTTAATTCTAAGGAGACAGATTCTCTCTATTCCCACTGTGGACTGGACCGTGTGCATTTGTGGTTCTTGTTGAAAAATTTAGTTCATACTTTGATTTATGATTGGGTCCAGCTTGTCTCAAGTTCAGATCAAGACTGAATTCGTCCAGTTCAATTTATGAGGTCTATTTTTTGGATCCGTTTTGATAATTCAAACCGTTCAATGTGTAAAAATCTTCGAGTACTACATGCCTATAAAAAATCACATTGATCGGATATCAATAGCTATGTGATCAAATCAGTTTTGTATAAAAAAAAAATGGACGATGAAACAATTAACGGTTGATAAAAAACTGTTTTGTTCACATAGCTATCGATATCCGATTAACGTGATTTTTTCTAGGCATATAGTACTCGATGAGTTCTACATATTGAACGGTTCGAATTATCAAAACGGAACCCGTGGTGGGCCCCCACGGATCCAACAGCACGGTCCAATCCAATCTTGGACTGGACCAAAGCCACTGCCTCGATTTATATAGCAAACACATGGCCAATTGAGTGTTGGTTTGGCATTCCTTTTGAGACTAAATAATCACAAAAAGATAAAATTGATTACAAAAGTCAATAAGGTAAAATATTATTTTTATCTATAATCATTACACTTGTTCTCTCATAAAAATTAAAAAAATTTCAAAATAAAAATTAAACGAGACTAAAAAAGCCAGACTAAAAGAATCTCAATACAAAAAAAATTGATTATATTAGCCAATACCAAACGAACCCTGAGATTTCTTCTTCCCGTCCTTTGCTTTTGCTAGCATGGTTGTTGAATGCTATTTGTTCTTTGCAATTGTAACTTCCTAGATGGTATTTGTTGGAATTATATGTGGTATTAACTACATATTCTTTAAATTTGTTTTTTTTAAATCCAAATCAGACCTTCGTTTATAAAACAAAAAACAAAAATTGAAACCATATAGGATTTTAACTACCTAAGTTTTCAAAGAATAAGGAATCCAAATTTGCTAAAATTGACTATGGAATTAATTTGAACTTACTACTGTGATCTAAACTAATCATCTCATGTAATCAATTAAAAAAATTCTACATGCAAAAAAAAAAAAAAAAAAAAAAAAAATTGTTCAGCAAAAAGAACTTTATTAATGAAATAATAAAATACAAATGTACATCAATAAAGGAAAGGCGAGTATAAAAGCGCATTTTGATGAAAACGATTCATCCTAATTAGGTTGCCACAAGAAGACCCACAGCATCATAAGCACAAACTTGATATGAGTTGAATGGTTCAGATCACTAAGATAGATGTAGATTGGTCCCATAATGCGCCAATTTCATCTGTACAAATTTTTTTTTTTTTTGATCGGCAAAATAAATCTTTATTGATGGAAACATACAAAGTATGATAGATTACATCAATAAAGAGGTGCTCAGAGTTAGGTCAAGCTTGAAGCTCCAGTTGGTGAAAAGCCAACAAGAAGAGAAATCAAAAAACCAGAAGCATTAACAACCGAATTAAGATCATCAATTTTAACAAATCTGAAATTACAAATAAGCGCCTTCAAAAAATTAGAGGTGCAAAACAAAAGTTTTGAGGACTTTATGGATGAACCGAGTTTGATTTTTTGGGTAAATGTTAGGAAAATTATTTTATATGAATAGTGTATCACGTGAGAGAGTCATATTATTATTTTCATACTCAAGATTTGTTTTTAAATTTTTCACTTTTTGTCTTTTTTGGTTTTTATTATTTTTTTAAAAATATTTTAGTCAATTCTTATATGTTTTAGATACAAAATATAAAATATTTGTGAAAATCTAAAAATGCGCATGTGAGTTTTGGGTGTTTTTTTTTTTCGTTTTTTGCTTTGTTTTTTTGTTTATGTTTTCTTTAAACTTAGCAAACTCGTGAGGTCGAGGGTTATTTTTTTTTTTATTAAAAAAAAAATAAAAAAAACATCATTGATGAAGAACATCAATAAATAAGGCAAGCAAATCTAGCATCACAGCATATAAAATTATCTTAATTATGTTGACACCAAAATGCATATTTAATCATAACCCTACACCAAGTTGGTGAGTAACCAACTGGAATGAAACAGAAAGAAAACAAATGCCAAAAGCTTAAACCGCAAAAAGCATAAAGTAACAGCCACAAGCAACATCGACAAGCAACAATCACTCTTTAATCATCCCAACCACATCATGCCCTTAATTCAAATTGTTGGCTGCTCTGAGGGACTGAAATCTGAAAACAAAATCAGGTTAGTTGTTGAATGTGAGTCGTAATAATAGGAGAGTTTATACTGTTTAAATCTCCCTATGTGTATTTTATTTTATTTTATTTTTTAATAAAATTTTTACTTTTCTGATTATAAAAAATAAAAAATAAAAACCATCACTAATATAATTAAGATAGACTCTGCCTCATAACCCAATCAAAATTGAGAAAGACATAAAGAATGAATAATGCTAAATACACAAAATAAAACACAAAAATTATACACACACACACATATATATATATGGTCTTCAGTTGGGAAACTCAATCAGAGGGTGGTATTAGGACATCGTGGACCCATCATCAATTTATAGAACTCGTCAAGTATTTTATCCCTATAAAAAATTATGTTGATTGGATATCGATAGCCACTTAATCAAATCACAACATGATGTTTTACAGGGATGAAATACTCAACAAGCTCTATACATTGACGGTTCGGATCGTCGATGTGAGCTCCATGGTGGGCCTATGGAATCCCAACCGCACTCTCAATTCAATATAGACTGAAGAGAAACTTTTCTCTATATACACATATATATTATACTTGAGATTTATATTAAATGTCAATTAAGAGACATAAAATAAGGAGAAGGTGCTCTCCAATTCTCATTTGGACTGGAAAGGCCGTGTCAGGCCCCATTTTGATAATCGAACCGTTCATATTTTAAAATTTTCATATATATCATCAATTCAAAAAATTAAGTCAATTTAATAATCATAATATTTTTCATTTTATCGAATTTGTCACTAAAAAAATGAACGGCAAATTTATTTTTGAAAATAGACCATTCATTTTTGTAAAATAAATATGATAAAATGAAGATATTACAATTATTAAATCAATCTTTTTTTTATTGACAGATATATGCAAAAAAAAAAATTAAAATAAACAGTTTAAATTATTAAAATAAAATTCATGATAAATTTCACTTGCTCAAACAACATCTTTCCAATCTAGATGAGGACGGGAGAAAAGTCACTCCCTAAAATAATTTCCTATCTCAACTACATATTAATTGGGAAAAAAAAAAAACAATGAAAACATCAATAGCCATCCGATCATTAATAGTTTTTTTTTTTTCTCCTAGGTATATGTAGCGTCCTAAAAAGGGATTTCTATCCCATATAGAGTTTTTATTAGCCCTATTTTGGCAATTAAAAAAAAATACTTTATTAATTTATTAATTTATTTAAATTATATCATCTCTTTATTTTTTATACATTTTTTTAAAAATAAAAAAATACTAAAATAATTAAAAAAAATTTCTACTTTCCAAATAGGCTCGTATCACTAATCACATAACATCAGTGTTGCATTAATTAATTTTTTACCCATATTAATGAGAAGGGATACCTCTTAGATACTTCATTGAGACTTCATATTATATTACATGCTAAAGTAGGTTGACCGTTATAGTCAATGTTTTTGAGTGACAAAAGAAGCAGTGGACAGAGATTTTCTTCCTTATATTAACTTGGAAACTTCAAAGGAACCTCTCTCTCTCTCTTTAGGTCCCCCCTTTCTTATTTCACACGGTTGCTTCTCTTTCGCAGTCTTCGCCTAAAAACCTATGAAAACCACTTCACCCTTCCCTTTATATACATAACCAATTAAACAAACCAAAACCAAAACCAAAACCAAAACATACGTGTGAAAAACCAAAACACATGGCTTAGCACCCAAGTCTCATATGCATACAATACATTCTTGTCATTGTGAAGAAAGAAAAGAAAAGAAAATATAGTACTTTGTTATTTAGAGGGAGAAAGTGTCTTTCTGTCTGTGTGTGTGGAGAGAGAGAGAGTGAGAGAGAGAGGTGGAATGGAGGATGATCGGATAGCACCAGGTTTCAGATTCTACCCTACTGAGGAAGAACTGGTTTCATTCTATCTGCAAAAGATGCTTGAAGGAAGGAGACAAGACCTCGACCTCGTCATACCGGTCCTCTACATTTACGATTTCAATCCATCGGATCTCCCTCGTCTGTTCTCTTCTATCTCATTCATTCCTCTTTTCTCTTTTCCTGTAATTTTTAATTTTTGAATTGGGTTTTCAAAAAATGGTTCAATTTTCTAATATACAAGTTTTTCTTTTCTTTTCTTTTCTTTTCTTTTCTTGTGTCATGGATGTTCAGTTATTGCAGTGTGAAACTTTTGAAACTGCCCTATCTTTAGCAAAAATGTTACTATTAATCATCCAGAAAAAATTGGATTATTTACTCAAAACCCTAAGTAAGCAAAGCAGTTACGCAGATCATTTTCAAACACACGTCTTCCATTTCAGCAAATTATACCGTGTTCACTTGGGTCCTTGTCCTTTCCTTCGATTCTTGTCGTAAGAAATAAAATTAGATTGTTTCTTCTTTATCCATTCTCATGACACAAGACTTTTTTTAAAATTATATTTCTATATTTTATGTCGTGTTAATTGCATAAAGACATGAAGATTATAAAGAAAATGAAAATTTGAAACCTACAACAGTCATTTAATGCGATTGGCTTGTAAGATCTTGATGAGTTTTAATTTTCTTTTCTTCCATTTCTATACATCTAAATCAAAATTCAAGCACAGTCAAGTTAAGTTACAAGAGCTAGCTTCTAAAGTTATGAAACTTAATTAGTTTATGGATTTTTGGCTAAATTGTTATTATTTTTGAACCAGAATTTGCAGGAGAGCTGTGTCGCAAAGACCCCGAACAGTGGTTTTTCTTCATTCCTAGACAAGAGAATGAAGCCCGCGGAGGAAGACCAAACCGGCTCACAACTTCAGGGTATTGGAAAGCTACTGGCTCTCCTGGTTACGTCTTCTCTTCTCAGAACCGAATCATCGGTATGAAGAGCACCTTGGTGTTCTACAAGGGAAGAGCTCCTTCCGGAAGAAAAACTGAATGGAAGATGAATGAGTATAGGGCCATTGAAGGAGAACCTTCATCATCAATCACTACAATTCCACCGGTGCGTGTGACTTACATAGTTGCATACCACAAGAGCTTTTTTTCTAAGGAAAATGATAAAAACCTGGAATTTTTTATGCAGAATGCTGTGTTGGTTGGACTGTATTTATTCTAGATAGGGCTCAGGCTCCACCTAGATGAATGCAGTGCTGTCACACAGTATTCTGTACAATTTTTTTGTGAACTTTTATTTTTATTTTTACTATGTAGTATTATTTCTGGTAAATTATGGCTTATTGTAGTGTTTTCTTCTATGTTGGTATTCAGTCTGTGAGCATGTTCTTGGTTTAGGATATTAATGAATACATATACACTTATAAATGGATAACTTTGAAAGCTACATAATTCAGACCAAATAGGTGAAGTTTTAAACTCAAAGAAGGGAATGGGTGGTTTTTCCTTTCTGTTTTTCTCATTCTACCCAAGTAATATCAAGAGGGAAAAAGAAAAGAAAAAAAAAAATCATAGAAGGGAAGTTTTAAAACTCAGTCTACTAATCCTGAAATTGTGAATTCAAACTAGTGCAAATTATACCATATATTTGGTCTGTCTTCAATTCATCCCTCTCAAGCCCCAATCCAATGGGCCTAAACTGAGATACTTTTTTGTCTGTTAATTAGCACAAGAATTTATGTATTTTATGTGATCTAACCATAATAACACCTTTAAACAACTAGGCTTAGCGTAGCTAGCTACCGTAACTTCCTAAGGGTTTAGTCCCTATAGAAAAGTCATGGATTCAATTCTCTTCAGGAGAGTTGAATTAAAGGGGAAAGCACTTGGTGCTTTGTAAATGGTGGAAAAGCTAAATCCCATAAATGCTAATTTAACAATTAACAATTGATTTTCGTAGAGGAAAAAAAAAAAAAAAAACCATAATAATCCCTTTATCTTCATCTTCTATTCTTTTAACCATGACTAGAACCTTTATGTTAAATTTTATTGATGAAACAAAAGGACATAGTTAAGATAATGAGGCACATCAATAGGTTAATATAACAGCTAGAAACAATAACAATAATGATAATGAATGTGACAAAGAACAACAAATACATATACACGGTTCTTGCAATTCAATTTCAGAAATAGACTTGTGCCTAATTTTTTCTTTCTTCAATCTTATTGTTTGCAGTTAAGACAAGAGTTCAGTTTGTGCAGAGTGTACATAAAATCAAAATGCATGAGAGCATTTGACAGGCGACCATCAGCAGCGGCGACAAGTGATGCAGTGGTGGTTGGGCAAGTTCACCATGTTGGTGGTGGTGGTGATCATGAAGCAACAACTTCTTCTAATCATCACAACAGTCTAGGGATTGAGAGAACAACCTCAACAGAGAGCTCCTCAGGAGGGGGAGGAGGAGGAGGAGACCATACAAATCCTTCTCAGACTTCAACAAGTGATCATAACTGGGATGTGGGTGGTGTTGACAATGAGGCTCTGTGGGATTGGGAACAGCTTGATTGGCAGTTCTGACTTCTAAAACCAAGAAATCAGAAAATAAAATGGCAAAGGATATCTGAACTCCGAATGCTCAAGAGAACTACAAGGATGAGAATATAGGAGCAAAACAAAAGGGAGAGTTTATGGATCCAGGAATATGAACTAGGAATATTGAACTAGAAAAGTGATGTGTAGTTGAGATCAATTCTTTACATGGTGGGTCTATCTGTGAAATTAATCTTAACTATTAAATTAATGTGTTTCGTGAATATTTTTCTATGACTTTACAACTCCTTCAAATAAAATTCAGAGAGCTTAGTTCAAGCCTGTCCAATTAGCTTTTTTGATGTTTTTAACCTTTATAATTTTCGGTCCTCAAATAGTCTGAAAGTAATACATAATATTACTTATATGGTGTTTCTGAAAAATGAAAAGCTACCATCCATACTAACTGAATCATTCAATTTAGACCTGGTTTGGCATGCCTTAAATAAGGTAAAAAATCAAAAAATTACTAAAAAAGTCAAAAAGTTAGCACTATTCACAAAAAATATATATATAAAAAATCATGACAGTATTGTTACATAGGACAGTGTGCAGTGATGGTATACTGTCAACTAATACCACAAATTTTACCCGGCGGTGCACAAAAAAGTTGCACAGGACAGTGTTGTTCGACCCGTGAGAGCCCATCACGAGTCTCATTTTGATAATCTGAACCGTGCAATGTGTAGAACTCGTTGAATACTATATGCTTGTAAAAAATCATGTTGATCGGATATCAATAGCTATATGATCAAATCAGCTTTGTATAACAAAATGGACGGTGAAGAAATTAACGGTTGACAAAAAAACCTATCTGATCAGATAGCTATTGATATTCAATCAATGTGATTTTTTACAAATATATAGTACTCGACAATTTTTACACATTAAACGGTTCCGATTATCAAAACGGGACCCGTGATAGGCCCCCAAGGGCTGAACAACACCGTCCAGTCCGATTTTAGACTGTAGGCAATCTGCTCCTATAATGTTTGCTGCCAACCGACTGGCTTCCAGTACAATCCAAGTCAGTAGGTATTTACATATAGTAGGGGTAAAATGGTAATTTTATTATTTTATACAATATTTTAATACACATTTTTTCGTAAAAAGTCAAAAAGTTATCTCAAACATCCATATTTGTTCTCTCTACTTTTTAGTCCAAAAAATACACTTACTGAAAACATCCCAAACAACCCCTTAATAATGAGTTATCATATCCTATTTATAAAATTTTCTCCGTGTCATTGGTTGAACCATTACCTAAGAAAAGTTAAAAAGTTCACCTTCCCAAATTACCCCTCAATAAAGAAAAAAAAAAAAAAAATTAAAATAGCTGATAAAACAAAATATTACATCCTATACATCAATCAATTATTTATTTTTTTCACAACCATCTATTCAATTACAAAAAAAAATCACAAATCATTTCAGTCACGATTTTTTTTTTCATCTCATAAAATAGTCTAAAAACTAAAATGTCAACTAAAATAGGCAAGTTCCAAGCAAGACCTTAGGTTTTTAGCCTAAGTTAAAAAATTATTAAAAAGTCAAAAAGTCAACAAATAATATAAAAAAATCAAAGACCTTATTTTCTTTTTACTTTTTGCCTTTTTTTAAAGGTAAAAAATCATTTCAAACATAGTAAATTTTTTTATCTTATATTTTAATCAAAAACTAAAAATTTAATAAAATAGAATGCTCCCAAACAAGATCGGTGAAGAATGAGTAAAATAAAAGAAACATAAATTTATAAATCTATGTACTGAAAAATAATATGTACAAAGTGTAAATGTTGCGTGAAAATAAAATTGGCAAAGTAACTGTTGGTAAAAATTTGGTTTAAACTCAATTGACAGCGATTAATCGACAAACTTAAATAAATTTTAAATAAACACAAATAAAATTGAGCTCTATGTTTTAACCAAATTTAAAAACTTCTTTAGAGGTTATCAAGTAAAGAAGAATTTGAGCAAAAAATAATATGTATTTATTCAATTGGATTATTATTGACTACCAGTTACAAGAACTCAAATAACAACAAATACAACAATCGACAAAACGGAAGAAAGTTGAAAAAAATTATCACTAATTTATTCCTAACAATTATTTAATTAAACTACTCTTAAATAGAAATTGATCTCGAATCATGAGTGGTTGATGATGATTGATTTTTCTCTACATCCAGCTCTCGTTTACACTTGACCTGCCCGACTTTTAATTCTAATCTTCCTTAACTTTTTGTTCCTTTACATATCTATCCCGATATTCTAGAGACTATTCCTTTAAATTTTAATCTCTCTCTTAATCTTTTACGCCATCCTCCTTATTCTTTAAAAAAAAAATATTCCCATAACATTTCCCTCTTATTATACCATGTCCGTGACTGAGCAAGGATCCTCGGCCGCCGTTTTCGGCAGGCGTTCCATCAGCACCCCAAAACGACGTCGTTTTGGGGGTTTTTTGATTTTTTTTCTTTTCTTCTTCCTCGTCGAGCTCGACAGAACCAGAGGGGAGGTGAGGGAGAGGGAGGGAGAGGAGAGGGGAAGAAGAGCCGCCGGTGGGCCGAACTGGAGGGGGCCATAACCAGTGGGGGAGGAGGAGGAGGCGGAGGCGGAGGAGACGGCGGTGCGGCGGTGCTGCGACGGCCGGCGGCGAGGCGACGAGCTGCGACGGCGACGATCGGACCTCCCCCTCCCTCCTCCCTCTTCTCCCCCTCCCCTCCCCTCTGGTTTTGGATCATCGAAGAGAGAGAGAGAGAGAAAACAAGAAGGAAGAAGAAGAAAAAAAAAAAAAAAAACCCCCAAAATGACGTCGTTTTGGGGGCTGAGAGAGAGAGAGAGAGAGAGAGAGAAAACAAGAAGGAAGAAGAAGAAAGAAAAAAAAAAAAAACCCCAAAACGACGTCGTTTTGGGGGCTGCCGGGTAGGGCGGCCGATGATCCAAATTCGTCAGTGACTTGTCTCACATCAACCAACGTGCGACAACAACCTCTCGAAGGAAAGTTCTTAAATTTTAGCACCAACAATAACAAACAAAGGACATTGACTAATCGAACAAAGTCGTGTACGGTAACAAGCAGTGGACACAAAGCCGCGTGGAATTGGAAGAGAGTAGTGAATGAATGGTTGATTGATTCTCACTCACACACACACACACATACACACACACACACACACACACACACAGGTGAAATGGAGGATGATCAACTAGCACCAGGTTTCAGATTCTACCCAACAGAAGCAGAGCTGGTGTCATTCTATCTGCAGAAGAAGCTTGAAGGAAAAAGACAAGAACTAGACCTCGTCATACCGGTCCTCTACATTTACGACTTCAATCCATGGGATCTCCCTCGTCTGTTCTCTTCTCTCTCATTCATTCATCTTTTCTCTTTTCCTATAATTTTTAATTTTTGAAATGGGTTTTCAAAAAATGGTTCAATTTTCTAATATACTAGTTTTTTTTTCTTTTCTTTTCTTGTGTCATGGGTGTTTTTAGTTATTGCAGTGTGAAACTTTTGAAACTGCCCTATCTTTAGCAAAAATGTTACTATTAATTATCCAGAAAAAAAAGGATTATTTACTCAACATCCATGATTATTTACTCATGGATGTTTAGTTATTAAAGTGTAAAACTACTGAAATTGTCATGTTTTCAGCATAGAAAAAAAAAATAATTTTATTTACTCAACTACCTAAATACTCAACTATAGACATCACATTTTGACCGCCCTTAAGACTTGCATGCCTCACGCTTAATGATGAATTGTTACACTGTACAAATCGTTCAATTTCTTCAGCAAAAAGCTTCGGTTTCAAGCTTTCAAACTTAAATCTTACGCCTCCTTTGAACCAAAACCTGTTTTTTTCTAACCTGACCACTCAAAGACCTGCTTGCCAACAAGTGGCCGACAAGCCATTTTTTATTGGCTAGCCGGCCATGTTTAGCGTAACAGATATTTTGACAACCGTCAACTGTTCTCATGCCCATACCTTGCACTAACTGTCTCATTACAAATATTGTGAGAATGCGTTTTTCTATAAATACCTGACCCCGCCCCCCCCCAATGATTTAGGGCTATAAAATTTTCCCAAGAGCCAAAACTTGTCAAACACTCTTCCCTCATCTCTTGCAATATATATACACCATACATACACTTCCTTTACCAAAACTTGAGGTCTTTTACTGAGATTCTTGAACACAGTTTCAGCTCTTGAGAGTGTTCAACTTGTGGTTTGTGAACTAGAAAAGCATCCTCTCTTTTAAAAGATATACTTTGAGCTTTTGTACCATCTTTTCTCTCTCTTTTCTTGGTGTTTACTTACTGTTTTCAGAGTATTTTGAGGCCTGAAATATGTGATTTTAAGTCACAAAAAAAAGATGAGGGGTTGGCCACCCTTCCTTTAGCTTGTTACTTGGTTGAAACCCTTTGGCTTTAGCGCATTTTTGTTCACTTTTTCCATCTCAAAAACCTAATTTTCAACACTGTTTTGGTGTTGTTTCAGAGCTTTTTAGGGTGTTTAATTATGCTTTAAATACTATAGATGTGATGTTATAAGTCCACATGGATATAGCTTTCAATCCATTTGAGTTGATAGTCCTTTCTTGCTTCTTTTTTATAGCTTTCATACACCATTATAATCACCCACTTTTTCACACCACTCTGCAACCTCTCTCTATTCTTTGTTGCTTTTGATTAAAGAGTTTAATCAAACAAAAGACTACCGTTCAAAGCATAAAAAAGAGACCCTTCATGCTAAATGGTTTAATCTCTTCAAAGGTTCATTATCAGAGCATTACATCTCTCTTATGCTAAGCGTGATCTCTCGTTTGATACTTCTCCTTATCGCCGATGCATTACTTCTAAAGGATTAACTTTCTAGTTAGACCCTTGGAAATCACAAAGAAAAGTATCATTATAACTTATTGTTGAGTTTGGATTTAGAATCATTATTGCTCATTTTGGGTTTGATTAGTTATTATCGCTCTCTTTGAGTTTGACTAGTTGTTATCGCTCATTTTGGGTTTGACTTAGAATCCATTATCGCTTGTAAATGAGTTTGATTCTTCTTTGTAATTTTCTCCATAGAAAAGGACTTGAAAAGTTTATTTCTCGGGTTAAGTCGTGCTTGCTATCTTTATTGCTTTTGGACTTAGTGGATGTAATCTAAAATCTTGGACAACAATGAAGAAAATATAATGTAGACACCCCATTTTTTACCGCGCTTGAGACTTGAGAGCCTCAGGTTGATCACTCAATCATGAAAGTTATGTTGTATA